CCCGTTGGGTAGGAGGCTAGGTGGGCCCTACAGCCGGTCTGAACGCAGGGCCTAGAGGAAAAATCAACTGACTCTGTCAAAGATCAAAACCTGGTCATCCAGTCCATAGCCAGTCACTATACTAACTGAGCTACCCCGGCTTGTTACTTAGCGGGCAACAAAAACAAATTATTTTCAAAATAAAAGATAAGCTCACAAAGCCAACTGAACTGTCATACTTTTAACACTCCATATTCTTGGCAAAAAGTAGCACACTCAAACTGTTTGCGACTCCATTCTTACTATTTAATAATGCATCTAGTTCTGCATCATGCTCCGCATGTGTTGGACCTGTAACAGTCGCTTCAGGTCTTGTCGCATCTTTCTGATCCTGCTGCTTCTCAGCCATAACTGCAACAAAAGAGGAAAGTCAACCACACATTATACCTTTTCAGTCGATATCTGATATATACAATTACATTACAGGTAATGTTTTAGACAACCTTCACCTACAGAAAGCAGTAGAATCTATGTCCATTGTTCCTACTACAACTATGTGGGAAGTGGAGCCAAACAGAAATCACAACAGCATATTCTGGGCTTGCTGGCTTAGTCTGATCAAGACGGACCAAGCAAATCCAGTTCACAGCAGCTCTGATCAGTAAAATAAATATACACAACTAAGACCGACTTATACCACTGTTTCAGCCTGAGTGACCTGTGGGGTGAGGTATGAGTTGTTTCCTTGAAAGCTGCTGATGAAAAAGTTAATCTTCTTCATTTGGTGCTGCCACTGCAGCCATATGAGACAAAAATCCAGGACACCATCTTTCAATCCTGGCTTAATGCTTTTATAATATCATATCATGAAAGATTATCTTTCATCTCACTCCTTCTACTCTACTGACAAATTTACTTCACATGAACAAGTATTTAACACTGAAAATTGTTGTGTAAATAGCTGCAATAAGCATGCAATTATAATTCTGGTTTATTTTATTATCATATTCACACATGTTCCTTATTCTTGGCTTGCACTATGAAGGATCTACAGAATGTAAACAAATTCTAATTCCTCATGATCAACTTCTGAGCCTTTTGTGCTCAATGTGGCTATAAGAACTTTTTTTAAAATTTATAACTAAACCACCTTTTCATATGTACCCACAAACTGACCCATAATTGACGTTTTATTTGTCTCCTTCTTCTATTAGGATTTTACGACTATTTGTCCACATGGGAAAGTTTCAGCATCTGATGAACGACTACATAGGTAATGTATAGATTCACTAATAGACTGAGTAAGTTTCCATTACTTTACTGGATAGATACTTCACCATACCAAAGTTAATTCTTATGTCAGTAGTTATTTATTCTTGATATATTTAACAATTTCCAATTGATTAATCTGAAATGTTTTGACAATTGCATTACATATTTTTGGGCATTTTCATTCACCTTATTTCTTTTCTATCTGGGAAAGTTTTATTTGCAATGTTCTTAGACTGTAGACTGTCGATTATGTATTTAGACTGAATCTTCACATGCCTAACTTGATATGAGGAGCATCCGACTCTTCTGCCTACGGGGTTCAAGGATTTGCGTAAAGGAGCCTGCAAGAAATCTCACTGTTTAACACAAGTTTTTACACAAAGGTCATTTACTTAATTGCACTAAACTCTGCATTATATCCTTCACATACACAAAGTGACCACATACGACTGGTTCCGCTAACTGCAAGTTTTTGCTACAATAAATTGGAGTGAGTTGTTGCCAATTCAATGTACATTCCATAGTTTGTCTCAAACTGTGAGTTAAACAACAGCCCCACTTACCTCTTCTTCCTTAATCCCACGTAATTGACATTGAACCATCCATTAACACCAATAACAGCATAAAAAATGCACTTCAGTAAGACATGGGAAGCAACGAACAAAAACAAATAAACCCAGCATGGTATAGTACAATGTCCATGCTTGACTCTAAAATTAGTTTATATATACCCTTATTGTATTCCTTATGTTTACTGTTATCATTCATGATGGGTTAACTGCACTAATAAGAGTTCATTTGCAACCTCTTACACTCACGAGTTTAAAATTTTGCAGGTTAAGTGACCTCAGTGTATTGATTCAAGTTGGTTACACTGTCATATAGTGATAAACACTTGGATGGTTTGATGATGAGCACGTAAATTAAGTAATACGTATTGCCTAGTTTATATCTAAATTCCAGTTGTATTTTAAATTTTGCTTGGTAGTTTGCCTCGAAAGATGGATTTGTCAAAAATGAAAAATGATAAGAAACTTTACCTTTGCAGGTGGTATTATCGAGGTAAATTTGCCAGGAACATAATGTTATAATTTTAAGATGCAGTTCACTGGCTGTTGTAGCTAATACATCCATAATTTAAACTGTCTTTTCAGCTGGATTTGCATTTCTGCCGTTTCTATGGTGTGTAAATGCTATTTGGTTCTTCTCGGAAGCATTTAGGAAGCCACCATATGAGCAACAAAAGGAAATAAAGAAGTGTAAGTTTTGACAGCAAAGATTATTTTATAACTTTAGTTTACCTGCAGAACCATTGTTTGCAAATGTTCTTACATTCAAGTTTGAATATTGCATTCACGAAGGCGCATTTTAAGTCTTGGAAATATACAGAATTAGGTTCAGGTGTGGCTGTGCACAAACTGACAATTGAGGGTATTGGAATTCAGAAAATATAATTTACACCCACTGACTAGCTCTAGGGAAATTCCATGAGTGATGGAATTACTTATTTTCTTTAAAGTTTAAATTAATATTGGACCATTAGAAAACGTGGACAAAACCGACTGGACTTTTGTCCAAACCAAACTAACTTTATTTTGAAAATGGCAGTCATCTGGGTTCTAGTGCCATATAATATACTGCCAGACTACATGGCACAACACAGAAGACAGCCATCTTCAGACTCACTGCCATGAAAACCCCAAATCTAACTTTATTTTGACAACTTTGTCAAGAACCAGAGGTTTTAGTACTGACTCCACAGACCTGCCACAGGAACCACATGCGAGATTTTTCTTCTGTTTAATTATTAAGCTTGCAAGATAGTGGTCTGTATTAACTGCACACCTCACAACATTTGGTATACATTATGCAGAATGTCTGGTAACCGTGTGTCAGTACTTCAGGGTCTTATTCCCGGGATATTTGGCATTTCTCAGGATTTGTGATCACATGTATATTGACATCTACTTACAACTCCAAGACCAGTACCAGCCTTGTCCCCAATATATACACATACTTACAAAATACATTTACAGTACTGTACCAAATATGAATCTTCACCACCTTCGTAGAATGGTATGAAGTAGACACTTCACTTTCTTTATTCAGCTATTTTATACCAATATTGTATTGACCATTCCCATCAGAGGGAATTATGTGAACTAATTCTGATTTATGCTGGAGGAGGAAGAGATTATATGGCTAGTCTTTACCTCTCCTCACTGGATTAAGGTAGTACAGCAAGGCAGTCATATAATTTCCTAATGTGGTGAGCTGTGAAAACTTTCGGTGGTTTTGAATTGTTCTTACGATTGTAAATGTTACTGGTATTTAGTCCAATAACACTGTTGATTCAGTTACCCGAACTAATAAGTGAATAAACTGTAATTATTATTTTAATATTTTATTTATGTGAGATTTGGGCACATTAGACCAGTGTGCAATAGTTGTTATTCATTAAAATGAAAAATATTCTATGCTCACTTCACCACAGTTCCTTGAGGCACAATGGATCGCTTCTGAAAAGGGTTACAAAATCTTATTTTAGAGTATGCACACATGGACAATTACTCTGTACTACTGTAGTGTAACCTCTGTGTACTTTCTTTGTGCAGATGTGATAATGTCTGGAATTGGTGCTATTATATGGACAGCAATTCTGACAACATGGATAACAATATTTCAGTTGCACCGAGCAGAATGGGGAGCAACTGCAGATCAGTTATCATTCATTATACCAACAGGAATACCTTAACAACTGGCTATTCTTTTATAATAATTACAACTTTACTTGCTATCATGTTGAACTTTATTTCAATATAAATCAGGAGTCAGAAATAAGTTGTCCTTTTTCAGATTTTGTAAAGACTTGTACAAAACAATAAATCCAACAATTATAAATTCATGTATTGAGTTATATAACTGAAACATGCTATGACATTTGCAGCTACAATAATAGCAAAATAATTATCACCATATGAGCATTATTTAGTATGTTCTATTGGAAAAATATATATATATATACACAATTGATTAGTAAAGTACAGACATATAAATTTACAATGTACATACAAGGATGTTTCAGTTAAAATAATGTAGTTGAAAAAAGTTATAAGTGATAAAGTTTTCTTGGGTAATCAACTGCATGTATTCAGAGCACAAGTCCCAACATTTCAGAGACCATCATCTCTTTCCATCACCAGGGAGTGATGTAATGGCAACCTAGTGATTGATCCATCTACGCTCCACCTTCAAGATCAATTATTGACATATGAAGGATCATGAATGGAGCCAAGTGTGAATCGCTCATCATGCTCACTGTTGCCGCAACTGTAAACTCGAGTCAGATAGACCAATCTGGTGTTTTTCTGAGTAAATGCTCCTAACATCTGTCATTGACATGTTCTGTCCGAATGCTGCTTAACTGTGCTGTCTTGAGTGGACTAGACATGGCTTCTGGAGCTTGCTGGTGTGTCATCAGATTTCATCGCTAATGCTAAATTGTACTCATATTTGAATGAGATAACTTTCACATACAAATAATGAATGATGGGTCTGGTACCTGGTCATCAACTTCCTACACGAACCTACAGATAATGTTGAGCAATGTTCAGACAGGACAAGAGTCAGGGGTGTTACGTTGCTTCTAATGACAGAACATGGCCATTACACCAGATAGGTCACTGACTCAAGCTTCCGGATGGGTTGTATAAACCATTCTTATTGGGTCAATGGTTGTCCCTGAAGGTGGGGTCCAAGATGGATCTCTAAATGTACATATATAGCAACCAAAAGCTAATAGGGGAGAAGGGGGCTAGTTGCTATATTTTAGTTTAAAAATCACTAATTTGCAGCATCTCACAAGTCTCGTATCTATTGCGTCTCCCGTGCTCAGTTCTACCCAAGGTATGATACTTGTAGCTTGTGTATTACGTGAGCTAGGTTGATTTTAAGTGTTTTTACCTGTAAAAAGTTTAAAAAGAAATCTGAGTTTGAACTAACTTCCATGACCATGTGATAAAGGCAAGTTCTTTAAAATTTCCTTACCTAAAGCTCTTTAATGCTTGTACTTTGTTCTTCACTTCAGTCGAATATTGACACTGCTTTGACCATGAAATCAAAATGGCGTACTGTGGAGCCAGTTGTTACACTGGACAAGGGGCACCTTGTTACAGTGTATCAGCATGACCCATATCTTTTGCAATAACTTGCGTTGGCAAATGGCTATTTTTTTTTTTTTAATCATGAAAGATGGTAAGAACGTACAAAAGGAAGACTAATAGAGGTAATACAAGTTTGGAAACGTTTACGTTAGCAGCTGATGAAGTCTCTTCTGGAAAAATCTTGTTAAGGCAAACTGCTAATACATGGTGAATGCCATAATTGCTAACTATGTAAATTTTAAGAATAAATGTACAAAATCTAATACAGTGTGTTGTAACAACTTCCCCCTTCACTGTAACAACTAGCACCATAACAGGGCGCATTGTTACAAACCACCTTCTCTTAAATAAACAAGTTTTGTGATGAAACAAAAATGAATAGGTCTTTGAAAAAATGTTATTAATATAGCCGAATAGTAGTAGTACCTGATGCCATAATTGCTAACTATGTAAATTTTAAGAATAAATGTACAAAAAATCATAATTGAAAATTGTAAGAACTAGCCCCAGTCTCCCCTACCCATTATGTAGTTTACTGATGATAGAGAGAGATGGTGTCTGTTATGTTCAACTTCTGCCCAGAAAAGACACACCTCACTTCCCAAGAACATTTTATCACTGCGCACAAATGAAACACATTTGCTTGGATAGCTAGGACAATACACATAATAAAACCAACTGTCGCTGTCTTCTCTTGTGCTGTTTTAAATTGTTATATGCTACGTTATTCTATGACGTGTCTGAACGTGAAATCGCTTCTTGTTTGATGTGGACAGGGGAAAAAAAAGCGTAACATATTTGTGATCAAGATGATTACAGTCTTCTGGGATATTGCACCAATTAGTATGATAAAAGTTAACCTATGTCTCACAGGTGCTTGCTGCCTCCATCTGGTGACTTGTCAGTAAACTTCTACCAGACTACATGGCATATCATCCCATCGTCTTTATACTTTCTGATGCAAGAACCTGAAATCTCACCATTTTTGTGATTACTTCGCTTTCACTCTCTGGAATTATTATGGAAGCCCACAGCAACCCTCTTTTTTTCCCAGCCATCTTTTTGAAGTTTATGCTGCATCATTTCCAACTAACAAAAATACTGTTATGTTCATTATACTGAGACATTCTGTTAAAGGTTCAATGCTTCAAAGCACTGTACCTATTAACATTTGTCCAATTATAATTTTTACTCTGTTCGACAGATGCACTTTCAAAACGTATCTGAACTGATTATCATTCCTATTGCAGATATGTACTGATACAGCTCCTCCCGAGGCAGTGATGCTGATTTTATTAACTGAAATGTTTGAAACAAGATGGCCTGTCTTGTTTCTCACTACTAAATGGAATATTAAAGGTGCTGGAGGGTAACTTGCTTGTCGGAAATGTTAGGGTTACAAGATTTACAAGCAACAGAACTGGGATGACTTTCTCTTTTCATGAACTCCGAGGGTCCAGCCCAAACTAAGGCTCACACAATTTCTGCTTCTGTTCACCAAAACTAATGGAAGACAAGTCCTGGGAGATGAAACTCTGTGCCGCTCTCTACCAAGGTCTTTTGTAGAAGTCTACAGAAAATATATGTATTTTAAGGATACCTTATCACATAGTAAACTATGCAACTTTCATGAATAAGATTAATCTAAATTAAAATAATGATAAAATCTTTTAGGGCATCAATCCCTAATGATGGAAACAGATGGTCTCCACTACACCAGACATTTGATCCGAACTCACACCGTACATTGCCTGAGAAGATGCGATCACATTTAGTGCAGTTAAAACAGTTACTTTCTATAGACCTGTGAAAATGGCTGTTCATTTAAATAGTAATGCTCTGTATTAAATGCAGCACTTAAAATGGACATCAGGAATGATAAATCCAAGCACGACAGAACTAGCAATCAATAAGTGCCAGTAGTGTGAAATAACCAAGCTCTTCTGAGTTTCACTTGTACCTGAGACTTAAAACATTTTATCCTGTAGATCATAATTAATAAAATAGTAATTGGCAGAGTCTTGAAGTTTGAAACTCGTGTTTCACCAAACGAACGAGGAACTGAAACAAAAGTTGATCTGCAGCAGTTACGTCAGTATGAATATAGAGAAATGATCAGAATAAACTCTAAGATAAGCATCATTTTTCTATTATGGCACAAATACAATATATAGGTTGTACACATGAAATGTGTACCACTTTACTCATGAACCAAAAGGCATGGGATTGAAAAATAAATGAAGATGCAATTACATGGGTTGAAAAAACATAAATTCAAAGCCGGTGATACTTAAAAATACACAGTTGTCAAAACTGCATTTACCAAGCAACTGGTACATACAACACATCTTTGAATGGAGACC